GTTTATGAGTATTGTACATCCTCATGTAGGATTTACATAAACGATATGCAAATAACGGACATACAAATCTGAGGATAAAAAGTAATGTTGTTTATGTTGAACACTTACAAAATTGCTTACCTGTGGTGCCTTTTGAGCTCGGTAAGTTTGTTGAATGATCCGTGGAAGTGTATAATTCGTTCGATGTGGTTGATTGTGGCACCAATGATGGTGTAGACAATTCTGATGTTGGTAATAAAATATGTTACTTAGAATAATTGCATCACGTCAGGGCAATGATTTTAAACTTAATCATACACAAATATTATTAAATTATTTTAACAGCAAACTGTATGTTCTCATCTTCTCGTATATATAATATGAAAATCACATAATAGAAAATATGACTATAATCTGTTTGTGTGCATTGTAAACTGATATCTTATTAAGCACTCATCAGATTTCAATGGAACTTGGTAGATATATAGTAATACACGGACGTTGCTAACTTGGTTTACATTAATAATATAACTTGCATTGTACCTAACCATTTGTAATCCGTTTCATGTATTTTTCAAATATATTTTAATTACATTTTCTAGAGGAATTCAGGGTGATCTACATGGGTATATTAAATAATTTAGAACATGACAATCAATAATAATTCTTGTTTGTGTATATTTCTTTAAACACAAATTTGACATACGGTAAAGTGGGTCCTAATAATTACAATGTTTGATTATTTATTTTTAGGAACCCATTCGCTATTATACATATATAAAATGATTGTAATGAAGATTATTTTTTGAAAATACACTTGTGCAATTACGTAATTACACCTAAGACATATGATAAAACCTTTCATCCAGTTCAAAACTATTAACACTCATAATAGTTTATATATCACGACTGTTTGAAATAACACCAATTTATATGTACACTGTTCAGCAGTAGGTGAACCCACTGACTTGCAAACCAGTCATAATCTCTGAAATTGTGGCAAGTGTGGCATGGAATGATTGAAACATATAGTTGACACTTGTCACATTCTAAGAGGTGTATGATGTTCTGTCGTTGTCATATACATACAAGCCAGCTGCTGGCGAACGTACAACTTATGGAAAATAATTTGTATGTTTAATTAAGAGAGTAATTTATGCAGAAAATGCTGATGTAATTAGGCATTGGACATAACATTAGGACTACATGTGAAACAGATCAACGGTTTTCAAGAAAACAATAAGGGAATGATTACCAATACACTGAATGTCTGTCATGTATTGAATTGAGGGTGCAACGCTATCCATAATTTTCTTCACTATGATTTTTTTAGATGAGTTGTATGCAAGTATGAAATGGATTTGTAAAAAATGTTCATCATGTAGGTTATTTGAGAGATTTTTGACTAATTCCAAAGATATTTAAACTCTACCACGTAATGTCTAGGCTACTCTATTTTCATAAATAAACTTTATCGAAAGCGATATCTTTCCAAAACTTATATCAACAAGGTGCGAATGAAAAATCAGGTAAAAATCGTTGCCGAGCCGGAGACTTCATTCGGAATACCTAAATAAATCCTAAAAAAAATCGGTTGACTTTTCTGTCCACAGTAACTCCTCCAAAGCAGAAAGTCAATCATTTATGCAGGATTTTTTTAGAGCTTGACCATACACGGCAGTAGTCACCAGGAGATATACTAAAAATCTTTCTAGGAGTTTATTTGGGTATAGGAATAATTCCCGTCGCCGATAAAGGTGCCAGTGAATAATGTTACAGTCAAACATCGTTCGCCTCAAACTAAGAAACAATGTAGCTTTTTAATCTCTGAAGTCAATTGACAAATATGTATGAATGTAATTTATAAGTTATTCAAGTGGGTGACCTATTTGATTGTTTCTTACATGATTTTTTTTCTTTCCAAAAGCTAAAGGTCGAGATATGCAAAATCATAGTAAGTGGAATAAGAATTGTATTTGTCAGTAGTCAAGCGGAGAAAACAGACGAATGCATCTGGGGTAGGCCATGTGGGTCATCTGTCGCCATCTTTTAGTACAGCTATATATAGAACAGAATTAGTAAAACAAAGAATTAACTAAGTGATAGATAATAATGACAAAGGCAACATAGAATATGTTGTATACTGGATGTAGCTGGTTTAAACCAATGATCGGCTACCAGTAATAATTTCATGCATAAATGTGTGTAAAGAAATATGTACTATATGTACGAATTTTTTTCCAATGTACCCGTGCCACTAGCAGCATTTGTTTTGAACAGACAAAAATACACACACAAAAAGACAATTAGAGCTAGATGCCAGCGTTTTGTTTTATTTATGTACTTGCTACTATACTCACCCATAGAAGAATTTCCAGCACCATTTTGACCGGTGACAATAACTACGGCTGTGATTGTACCAACAACTGCCGTAACGCCTAATGCTGCAAGAATACTGCCGAATATAACGGAGGGTGTACATGGACAACATAGATTACGCTGAAATAAAAACGCGTATAAATCACTGGATGGCAATGTTTTCCGTTAAATTATTAATGTATTACTTTGATCAATAGGCAATAAATCATGAAACCATGAATGAAATCGACTACTCTTTGTGATGCGAATACTAAATTATTTAATGTATACTAAAGACAGGTGTATCCCATAGGCATCCTCCCAAAACATGATACTGTGAGTTAGTATCCGACTTGGTGTGAGAAAAACACGCGGATTTCTAAACAACCCCGGATAAATTATTACTGTTATCATTTGCGTTGTTTGTATGACTTCTATATGCCGATTTTCATCATTGATACACTTTTTTAAAATGTAGCCATTTATTCTACATACGATGAGTACTGCCTGTGCAATTAGTACAATTATTAAAGTGGATGTTTGAAAAATAGTGGTTTCAACAATTCCGGGAATACCTGTTTATCATGTGCAATCACTCTTTGATGTATAAATCATCACCGTTAACAGTGACACACTTGATTTTGATAAGAAACTATTTCCCAATGATTCACAATGATGTGCCTATTTAGATTTCACTTACAAAATATAAAATAATGATTTCCCATGATAGAAAGATAGATGAGTGGTTATGTTTCTATTTTCATTTGTAATACATTGTGGTCAACCTAACAAATCATTCAGAATGTAAAACTTGTAAAAGCTGAATATATTGTCATCCTCATCAACAGTATACCTCTCACTCAACTTTTTGATTGTAAATCTGCCATTCAGGAAAGCATACTCTATTTTTATTTGATGTTGTAAAAAGCATCAGCTGATATGTGACTTGTTTTTCATCATTTACCATCTTTATAATGAGTAGTTGTTTGGGGTTGATATTGAGATGGTTTTTGTTTTCCAACAATGTTTACGTTCATCGATCGTTGCTAGAAACAGTGATTTTCATTCAAAAATAAAGGCTTTTTTTGCGGACTTACTAAGTTGTCTTTTCCATTATTTGCAAAATCTTTCCCCTTTTTAATGAGCTTATACCTGTAAAACGAAGAGAAACAATTGATTAGTATACATATCTATAACAATTGCAGAATTTTCATATGTGATATTTAACAACATTTAAATTAAGTATAATTAATTGAGTAGAACATGGTGTGTTTTCCACGCTCTCTGTATTTGTAGCTAAGGTTACTGTTTTTGTGTTTTTTTTTAAATCAGATTAAAATCATCCAAGTGTGCATATTTCACGTATATTATTGAATAGTCACTGTACTAATCAATTAAATAATAAATGATAACGCACAATTGTTTTCCTCTCTCTTGGATTTCTTCAGGATCAATGTCCAATCCTCCTGTTTCCGCCATTGCATCTTCAGTCCCGTTGGCAGCAGCCATTTCTCAGTAGGATGAAAATAACTTTTTACAACTATTGACCTCAAAGAAGCAAAATAGTTTTTTAATTGTTTTAACTATTCATATTTATTTTAATATCACCATAAGTGTAGCATAGTGAAACTGAATGATATTTTCAAAATAAATATACACGTGCCAGGAGTACACGAAAGTGAAAATAACTCATTAATTGGATAGTAAGACCAAAGTGTCAGAAAATCTCTGCAACAATTCACGCCTTCGGGCAGACAATTTTCTTCTTTCTCTTGAGCATCTAGTAACATATGTTATTATTATTATGCTAAGCTGTGTATTGTGTTCCAGACATGTTCAATGTGGTTTTGCTGTGAAAAGTTTATGGCATGATACAAATGAACTTTTGTCATCAACTTGTGAGCCATCAGTGTTGGTTTTGGGAATAGTTTATTTAGACACGTTTGATTATATTTCAATGTGTTTGAAGTGTGACTGATTGTTAGACAAATTGTCTCTTTTTGAATAATTCATTAAATTATAATAAAAAGAAAAATGTTTAACATGTATTATTTCAATCGCTCAATTCTGAATATTCCGTATGTGGCGTTGCAGGTCAAGTACCAATGTATGTATCATGTGACCTGATGCCAGGGACATACTAAAATAGTTATACTGGCATGTTAGCCGTTGATTATTTATTTATTGTTATTATAATTTATCATTTTATTTTCATTACTTTAGCGATGATTGCTTTAAAATGCGTCGTGTTGCTTACGTTGATAGTACTATTATATTATGGTCACTTAGTTTTGTTTGGCTACAGCATAGCATAGCATAATTGAAAAGTCTGTATTTATGCAACTATAGCCACATAGTTTTTATTTCATGTAAATTGTAGTAGTGACAAAATAAACATTAGGATAAAATAGCAACCTACTCATATAGCTTGGTAATGTTCGTATATTCTTTAATTTACTATTGGCAATTGATATGAGCTCAAATTTAAAAACAATTAAAATAGCTTTTATAAGTTTACACAATTATAATTTAATTTATAAGTTCTACACAAGGATAATAACAAGTACATTTGTTTATCCACATTTTAATTAATTCAGGATAACAAAAGAACCCATTAAACAAAAGACACAACAATGTCAATGTTAAATTTAATTGAGCATACTTGTTCCACATTAAGAGTCTACGTAATCTATTGTAACATAAAAACATTCCGTTTATTTTTGTTTATAAATAGGCTTTAACTACACACCATTAGTTCATGATGCGGCCTAACATTCATAAAACATATTGTTTTGCATATAAATATTATATTTAATCTTATACGACATATCATGCGATGCCTAAATCATAAGATCTATGTGATCGACTATTCATTCATGTGCGCCATGTCATTTAAATACGTATCATGCAACTCCAATATACGTCACGCCCTTCAGCTGTGCGTCATGTCATTTGACTATGCGTCATGTAATAATCCCACTGTGCGTCATGCAATTTAACTATAAGTCATTCATTTTGACTACGCGTTCTGCCGTTTATCGCGATTATACAATTAACCATACCATTCAATTAATTTATTGAGCTGTAATTATACAATATGTAACTTCATTATTTGTCATGCCAATATTTAACATATGCCGTTATATTTCTCAATAGATTTGACTATTTCGGTGTTATATGGCCTGGCCGTCACTGGCTACCAGCGGAATAATATATCTTCCCCTGAAAAAAGTGGACAAAACGTTTGTTCATCAACAATTGTTTATTGATACAATATATATAGGGTATCTTAACTTTGACGTTGACCACCCAAGTTTTAAGTTCTTTGATTTTTTCACAAGTGGGTAATTAAGAGCACATAAACCAAGTACTTGCATTTGGTACACTGTC